ATCACTTTAAATTTGTCGAATATCTTAATATTAGCATAACAAGCATACCTTAATCCATGATTGTTTAGTAAATTTGACTTGATCTGCCATAAGAACAACTTTGGTTAGTAGCCACTCCAATGGAAAACTAACCTACACAGAATGAGAAGGGATGGATTACCTTTTTAAGGTTGCCATCCATACGATACTCAGTTGAAGCACGTTCATATTCATCAAGCCATTGTGTAGGAGCAACGTTGACAGCCTCGCTGCAATTGAATCCTATAATTTATATTTAATAAAATACCATGTGAGAATCCTGCATGATAGGTAGCACCCAGAGTGATAATAAGTTCACCAGGGTGCTGTTCTGTCCTGAGGATTGTAATTTATTGTTCGGCCAACTCGATAGGCGAAATCTGACACACGATGTCGTACAAGAGACGAGGGTTATGTATTCTTTCTTTCTCATACTTCTTATTGAAATATTGTAAAAACTTTTCACTGTGAGAGGGAGGTATCGCATACCTTATGTTAGATAGGACATTCATACCATGTTTTGGGAGCACCGGCATGCATGTAGTTCATGGAATTTAAATTCAAGTCCTCCTTATGCCAACAGAAGTTAGCATACTTCATTCCCAAGTACAACCAAGGCACTGAAATTCCACTCATCTCACTCTTCTCTTGGAGAACCTGAAAGATAGAATTGCAATTCTTGTTTATGTTACTCAGATTTCCCAACTAGCCATCTTGGTAGCCAGTGGCGTACTTAGTTGCCAACAAATCAGCAGCATACTCCACTTCTACTTCACTATACCTGTCTGGAAAGTCGACTATTGACCAGAATTCTATCTCATTCTATCTGATTTGATTTGAAACTTCCCTTACTCCCTATAACTTGTGACTACTTTCAAACTTGTTGGCGTAACTCATATACTCTTGCAAGGTGTATCCTACAGTATTTGAGCCAAATATCTATGCTATGCTTAAACAAATACCTCCCCGGCCTGTTATTAATTTAAAGTCTACACTCGTGTCTCCACTCTCTTCCCTTTCAACTTCTGCTCCAAGTCACTAAAGAATTTTTTTTCTGGAACTATTAACTCAGAAGGCAAAAGCAATTTCACTATTCCGAATTTCTCATACCCTTTGGCATAAAGATCATCTATTGTCTTAAAGGGATCCTAAAAGAAGTCTTAGTTAACGTGCAACGTCGGAACTTCCCTGAATTATAGATCTTTTATAGAATATGGGAAACGTTCCAGTAATAGTTTTGCGTGAGGCTCAGTAATATCGTCAGAATTTTTAAACTTTCTAGAATGCTTTTTCTATTTCAATGATCGAATCATATGCTTTGGAAGCTTATTTTATATAATAATTTTATCTAACCTTTAACACGTTCTGCTTTAATGATGATTTTTTAAAAGATACTTCTGTTTTAAATCCCCAATAAATATATATTTATAATTATAACATACCCGTGCATGTGAAAACCGATGAATTCTATTAGGAAACATATAAAATTATATAATTCATTCAGAAACTAATTTCAGTCATTCTTTATGATTTCCAAGTCTGCTCTTTAGTTAGTTCTTCAAGGAAATTGGTCTCCCTCCCATAATCCTCCTTAATCTTTCACAAATTATCCTGGTTATTTTTGTATTATCACTATAAGACTTCTAGCACTCTCCCTTCCTCAATCCAATGGAACCAATACTTTCAACTTTGTTCACAAAATTATGATCTATTCAATTAGTCTTCTTTAAAATCCTCATAATCTTTGTAGTACTCTATTCAACAAGATCACCTCTGTTATCTTAAAATTCAAAATACAGTGTATTCAATCCAGTAATCCTAACTAGACTCGTTTTGTAAATATTACTCTTCCTGGTGATATATCAAAGTCATCTGAATACACAAAAATTAAATACTCTTTCTCATCATAATCAAAGACTTAATACTGTAGTAGCATCAAAACAAAGGTGAACAATTTCTGCTACACTAAATCCTGATTCAAAGCAACCAACCTTTTGCATATCTTTCAATATTTACTGATGGATCTAATTATATGATGTCAATTGAATCATAATATTATATTTCTGCATTCAATATTTGGAGATGTGAAAATAAATTGATCTTTCAAATCAACCAGGTCTAGTGGTAAGATTGATAAAGTAATTCACTTGTCTTTTTAGCAGTCAAAACAACAAAATTTGTATCAAATACAAATCCACCCATTTCTACTAATGATTAATTCTATGTCTTATCTGTTTTATCATTATTCTGAATTTTAGAATCTCTTTTTCCTCTACTTAGAGATTTACCTAAATTCTCGATATTTATGTCGACCTTTACTTGTACCTACTCCAACAGATGAATTTTTTAACTAAAATCTGAATCACTTATGAATCAATACTCATTATTATATTACTGGAAATAAATCAAGAGGAAGTGAAGATTTGACATATTTTAATTCATATTCGAATAAATTAGAGATCATGAAATTCTAAATGTATTAATATTTCATTAATTTAGGTCGCAATTAATAACTTATTTTCTAAATATGATTTTATGAATGTGCATGTGAATTAATAAATTAACTGAAATTAAATTTTAATAATTTTTAGTTAGTAAATAATAATAGATTCACTGCAATTATCTAAACATATTTCCTCCAACTTTATGCACTTACTCATATTTTTTATCAAGTTCTCCATTATGATGGATACTTCGTGAAGAAATGAGTGTATTCTGAGCTATAGTATTATCATTCAAACATGAATAATTTGTACTTGTAGTAAAATTCATATTGTTTTATAAAAGCTATTTACTTGGATCTCCTAAATGGGCTGATGATTTAGTTTAGAACAGAGGAACTTTAACTTTTTGAATCATTGCATCTCCCAAGGATGGTCTTTTAGAGTCAAACTAAAAGATTCTATTTACAACAAGATTTGAATTGACAGTTGTAAGAGTGTTTGAAGGCGTGTTAATCTATTAATAATATAGATCTGAAGGATTGGTTGGCATTTTTGTAATGGTTTTGAAACTCTTACTTTTTGCAATCAGAGTCATAATTTAGGAAACTGAAGAAGATATTTTCTAAGCACCCACTCCAGTCAAACTTTACAATTATTACGACCAAATATTTAATAGACCAGCTCTCTTTCTTAGATAAGCAACACAAGATAATGCCAATATAGTCTAATCAGTTTGGAAGTAGAGTTAATCATCTAAATTTAAAATTCGAATAAAATACCTCTAATAATTTACAAAGCTATTTCAACATACTTGCTTTCCACTTCCTTAACATAATATAAAATCTAATTTTCTTATAAGTCCCTAAGTTTGATATGCTATTGATTAATGGAATCCTTATTTTCTTTTTACTGTTATTGCACTAAACTATCATCATCATCGATCACTCCAAATGATAGTAAAGCTTCAATTCTATCTAATAAGGTGTTTCTTTGAAGTTTCCATTCCATTTTTTGTATTAGTTAAAGTTCTGCTGACTTGAAATCCTAAATGCTAAAGTGACTGATTTCAGGATGATTAGTTAAGGAGGCATATCTTTTTAGCTTGCTTATGAATGGTACTCTCTCATCAAGTTCTTGTGCTTTAGCAGCCAACATAAGAGCAGTAGAAACAAATAGATAAGTCTGATTTTCAGCCACAGCAACCTTATTGAAATACTCATCAATATAATTGATTGCCAAAAAGGAGGTATTGATTGAAAGATTAAGTCTTTCTGACACTTACAAAATGAATTCTATGAACTATTATCTTTATTTGGTAGGCCCACTTGGTTAACCATCAACCATCATCCTTTGTAGCACTTTAATTGGATTGAAAAATGCACTGTATTTCATCCTGAGTGTTTTATAAACCTTGGTATTTGGCTAGGATGTAGTGATGAATTTTACATTATTTAAGAAAATGCCACAATCTGTGCAAATCATTTTCTCTGAATAGATGTGTCTATTCTTATGAGAACATCCAAATACTTCGAAGTATTAATTACTATAATGATGTTCAAATGGCTCTAATTAACTCATATATACGTTAAAATTTTATTTATAATTTATTAATAAAATTTCGAATAAATTCTGAAAATAAATTTTAGTAATTACAATGAACATTTCCATCTCAAATGCAAATGAGCAGTATAAAATAAATTATCAATAGATTAAAATAAATGTGTATCTTGATTTTCAAACAAATTGTCTCATCATTGTAGTCCTTCTTTATTTGATCTTATCTTTAGTTTGTTTTTTATATTTCTTTATCACTTTTTCTGGATTTTCTTCCTAAAAGTAAGCATCATAATTCGCCATATGATCAATACTAAATTAGCTATCAACATCAGAGTGACTCTCCATTTACTAAATATTATTATCAACCTTCTCAGTCTCTTCAACACAGAGCCAGGTTCCTTGGTAACACTGCCTTGTAAATTCTAACTATTTTAAATATAATTTCTATCATAATATGAATATATGAAATACTTTAGTTCGTCTATGATAGATTAAATCTCTTTATTTTTAGGCTAAGCTATCTAAAGAAATTTCATCTTTCTTAGAAGTTCTGATTTTTTAGATTCATTATAAATGTGTCGATCAGGAGATTGTACCTTCTCATACTTTTCATTTTATTGGGGAATCTACTAAGATTTGTTACAATTTGGAATTTCATTTTATTACAACAATTTACTCTTCTTCCTTTGAGCTAAGTAATTGTTAGGCAATAGAGCACTCATGCCTTTGTCTTTTTTCACAGGAACAGCCTTCTTGACTTATTCTTAGATCGGTGTAAGACTAGACATAGATGATGTTCTAACATTTCTAAGTTTTTCTAATTTTACGAAACTTTAGAATTTCTTTTTTTTAGTGAGATTTGATTTCTTTTTGATTTCCTCATCTGAATGCTTAATCAATTACTAAGACTTTCTTTATCCATCTGATAACTCTATACTATGATTGTCCTTACTTTCATCAATCTTCATCTCATAATCATCATCCAGCTACCCATTGCCCTCTCTTTCTTAATTATGCCTTTTCTTTCTCTTACTCGACTATCTTCTTAATATCCTCCATCTCCTCCTCATAATCATCCACATCTGAACTATACTCTATGTCTTCATCACTTGAATTTTGAGTGAATGTGATATTTTAGAAGTACTTCTTAATGGCTACTGCATTAACCTACACTTCTCGTATGTGAGACAGAGCTTTGAATTATTGTTTAACTACTCTTCTTTAATAGAGATGATCTCTTTAATTTTATAGATTATAAGTCTCTAGAATAATAGGCATTTTTTCAGGTATATAGAGTGTCTTTTTGCAATTAATTACTAGATGTTTCTTACTTTCACAGATGTAGCATTTTAATTTTAATTAAACATTGTTGTTATTGAAGAGAACTTGATGTCTGATTTCAAAAAATTTCTATTTTTCAATAGAATACTTCTCTAGTCTTTTTAAAAATTGAGTTCTAGACAATTTGTAGATAACTGAATATGTTAAACAACGAGCTGAAGCAGTTCTCTTATAACCAGTAATAAAAGCTACTATTTCCGAAAATGCCGGATTTCATTATATGTAATTTGATTGGTTTATCGCTATCTAAGTATATTTCCACTGAACCCTTTGTTAGAAAGAAGACTGGAAAGTCATCTATTTCTTCTCTTTCTTGGAATATCACTTCCTCTTGTGAGTAGTATTGTTATTAGATGTCTTAAGCCAACTCAATTAAGAGGTCTTATTAGAAGTAACTGAAAAATTGGTTGTGATTGAGCATCTTGCCTAGGGTTTAGTAAATTAATTCTTCCTTGAGAGCAGGAGCTAATTTTAGAATCATGGCTTATTCCAGTTCGTGATCCCTAGCTTTTTCAGATTCCCATAGATGATAAAGGTAGGCTTCTATTCGAGCTTTTAATTTTCTATCCACATTGTGTTCTCGCATAAATCTTTCTATAGCATTAACATACTTTCTAGAATAAATAATGGTTTAAGAAATACTGAAATTTCTGTTTATTTTCATTCTATTAATTAATCATCTCCCAAATTGCATTAACAGAATAAGCAAAAACGATACAAGAGATGAATTAAGTCACCACAGTAACAAGAACTTCATAAGCATTTTTAGGTGTTACATCTCCATAACCCACTGAAATCATCGTAGTGACTGCCCAATAAAATGAGTATAAATGCAGTTCAAATATATGTTTTTTCAAATAAGTATATCCACCATGCATTGTGATCAAATCACTTTCACTTAGCCAAGATACACTTTCATCTCCTTTACATAGCTCCCTTCTTCCCACAAAAAAGAATACACATGCAAATAAATGACACAACCATGTGATTGTCAACATAACAATCAATAATCTATATTTTGCCAATTTTTAAGGTTCCAATTACAAATATTCTTATATCATCTTACTTGTTTTAAAGACTTCGTAAATTTTAAGAATGAATAAGAATATTGTAATTCCAAATTACGTGTCCTTGTGAAGAAATATTCGATACTCAATTAAACAACATAAGGGGATTAGATCTAGGAAGAAATAAGTTTTTATATAGTTTACAGCAATTAGTTTTCTTCCACTTACCAAATATCCTTATTTGTAAAAAGCAATATTGAAAGTGAGAGCAATGTCAATAATAAATATACAGATTGCTATATTTAGAGCAAAAGTTTCGAAGTCCTAATAGTCATTTGATTTATTTTCCTGTATAAGGGGTTAATAAGCAAATATGAAAGGTATTTAAAAGAAGAAGAGAACGACCAAAATACTATTTAGAACCTACCAAAGTATGTAAAATTAAGAGTCTGGTTCAAGAACTTTGACTTTATGAATGTACTTTTAGACATCCTTTAGGAATCCATCCTTTTCAGTCTCATATACATAATCATTAAATAACTCTTTTTGTCTAAGATCAATAATCTCTGCCATTGTAACCTTGTTGGAAGATTTCTTACTTCCAAAGCATCTTTAAAATATGTTTGGTTGTTATCTCTTCATGTCTATTGTATTTCTGTAGATGATGGTTTGATTGGCTATGGTAGGTATGACTTTGGCTCTTGAGTATTGATCATCATCAATCATGGATTGATACAAGAAGTCGTCGTCGTTGACAATCTGTTCCATAAGGATTTCGCTATAGGTTCGATTTGCGATTTCTATTTGATTTGAGACTTGGAGAGTCTGTGGAAAGTTTGGACCAGAATCCTAGTCACTCATTAATAAATTTATAAAAATATAAGGAATGGGTCCAACTTAAGGCAAAGAGGTATAGAAATTGTATATGAATTCAGTTATCTCCATAAATGAGGGAAGAGAGTGTTAAAGTTATTCGCAAGATTCGATGTGGATGGGTCAAAGTCGATTGAGAAGTCGGAAACAATAAAATATTGGTATTTATATAAATGTCAATGGTAATGAAGGAAGAGTAATTTTGCAAAATTGAATACAGAGGAATTATTTAAGTCAGTAGACACTGATAATAGTGGTACGATATCAGAAGAGGAGTGGCTAAACTTTTGGACATAAGTATTACGCAGCGGACACACAGAGGAAGAAATAGCAGATGAAGTAAACTGTGTGTGAATATCTGCATTTTAGTTAGAAAGTATTGAATCTGGATCTTCGTGGGTAAAGTTCGAGAATTTGGAAAACAAGAAGGGTTGACATTGATCATCAATATACAAATATAAAAATATTATATAATTACATGTTATAATTTAGGAGAACTATTTTTGATTAAAATGAAGACGCAGTTCATGTGGAAATAAGACAATCAACCACCTCCCCTTTCCCCTTATAATAACAAGGTACAATTCAATTGTGCTTTATCCAGGAAATGTATTGATGAAATAATATGACAAATTTATCCCAGTCTAATTGGAAATATGTCCTGAGAGATTATATAAAAGGCTTTCACCAAATCAGCTAGTATATTGCACATTAGACAAGTGCAGGTTGAGAAAATTTACATTTTATGATTAAGTTCTACCCCATCACAAATTCGGCATAGCACTGCAATAAAGAGACCAATAGGAAACATTCCTAATAGACTCAGCAGATGAGTTTAGGAAATGGTTTCTCTTATTCAAAAGATATTGCGTTTTGGATAAATTCAAACAAAAATTTAAAGTTCTAAACAAGTCTAAGTTGGAAGATCCCTTATTTGGACAATGTTATTTTAATTGCATCCACAGCAATAATTACAAATTAGTAAAAATAATTGATAAGGCAAATATAACGAATTATTAATTACAATGTTTAAGCAAAGAAATTAGCAGTCTTCGTAAATTGAGGTATTATTTATATAACTTAGTTCTCCTTTGGTGATCTTCTTTAATGAACTTTATGAAGATGATACTAATATTTACATTGTATACAATCATTATTAGGGTTTGGACATGAGGAGTTGGTTAAAGGAGAATTCCCAAAATTTGGAAGAGAGATTGGTGGCTTAAATCATGTTCAATCTTCTAACAGCCATATCTCACATGCATGCCAGAGGAGTGTTTCATAGAGACATCAAATTGGATAGCATTCTAATTCAGAGCCAATTACCCTCCGTGTTATTGACTAATTTCTGCTATTCTGAGACCTACATCCCATAAACCCCATTTAAGAAGTGTGGAACTCCAGGATTCATAGCCCCAGAGATCTTCAAAACTAAGTTGTACACTCCCAAAGCAGATATGTTCAGTTTAGGCTGTTTATTTTACGTGCTTTATTTTGGGAAAATCCCATTCAGTGGATCCTCTTAAGAAGAGATACTGTCACGGAATGAGGCTGCAGTAGTGGACTATCAAATTTAGTAATGTCTTATAGTTAAAGAAGGAAGTAACTTTGTAGGAAGGTGTCTTCTTCTGGGATAAATTTGTTGAAGGCTCTCCTGATCGCAGATCCAGAACAGAGGCTGTCGGCTTAATAGGCTCTTCAACATCATTGGTTCATCAAGATGGGGACTAAACAGTAGGCAAAGTTCCACAAGAATATTATAAAGGGGAAGTCTCTTTCAACAATAATTGAGAATTCAGTGGATATCACTCACAGGTACGAAGGGGATGTTATTGTTTAGTATGCAATGTCAGATTCCGTCGAGCACTTTCATTGAGGATAAGGTGGATAAGGAGTTTACGGCTGACAACTTGAAAGACAGACTGCAGAAATTCAATTCAATTTAGTTAAAGCCTTCTAAACATAGACACTAGTATTATTAATGAATATATATATATAATAAAGTAGAATTATGAATTGGCTTATTTATACTTATACTTGTTATTGTTAAATCATACGGCTTTACTAAATACTATTTGGTCTCTGTGTTTTTCAACGTGATCGAGTAATTCTTCTAAATCAGCTCCGCTCACTTCCATATCCTGAGCGATGTTTTTGAGATGCACTTTAAATTTATCAAACTGCTAATTTGTGATATTCAAGTCTTTATGAACTTCCACTAAATCTCTAATGGATTCTTAGATTATGTATACTTGCCAGTGTATTGAGTATTCTTGTCGCCCATCATTTGAGAAAAGAATCTCTTCTACTGATACCTAACCCGGCTCATATCCGCCTTCAAGAACTTGTCCCTTAGCAACTTGTCGAACAAGACTTTGTAATAGAATTAGTCGATCAATTCAGACACTTGTTGATCCCCTCCAAATCTCTCGTATAGTGATTTCTTGTTGTCCATTTCTTTAAAATCTTTTTATTAATTTATATATATAGAAGCATATTTATACTAATATTAAATATATTATATAATTTAAAATGTCCCTAGGCGTCCCTCTCAAAATCATGCACGAAGCAGTTCATCATATAGTTACAGTCGAACTCAAAACAGGCGAGATGTTCACTGGATACATGGCAGAGGCAGAGGTAGCTTTGAGTATCATTGCCAGGACACAATGAATGTCCGATTGGATGAAGTGCAGATGGTCACTCGAGATGGCAGACCAATGTCATTAGAATAGGTCTATTTGAGAGGCAGTTAGATTAGATTTGTTGTGATTCCAGATGTGTTTAAATATGCGCCTATGTTTAAGAAGATCAGAGCCAATGCCAAGAGCAAGAACATGCAATAAATAAGAGAAAAGGCCAGATAAGTGAGAGGTATGGAATTCACATCATTTGTTAATAATAGAGGAGTTGGTGCCTCGTATCAAGTAGGGTTTGGAGTAGTAGAAGAAATGATAAATAAATATCAATTGTAATTTTAAGTTTAAATAATAAATTTTATGTCGAATTCTTTGAAATACTTGGTGATTTATCGTCACGAAACTGAAAAATTAATTGCCTCATACCTGATTTAATCTGGGAGTGAGGAACCTTTAAAAAGTGAGTCATCCAAAGTTTGTTATGAGTTAAAGAGAAATCAACTAAGGATAGAGGAAAGATAAAAAGTTGATTCCGCAAATGGGAGTTGGTTTTGTAAAATTGACGATAAAGGGCTTTTCTATTTAATTTTGGGAAGTATGGGTATTGATCATTAAGTTAGTTTCCACCTATCCGGAGAGGCATGCCTATGCTTTGATTCAGGAGATTTAAAATGAATTCTCCAAGTTGGGCAATAGTGAAACATTGAAGGATGATACCAGTCTTAAATTACATATAAAGAAACCTCTCAGGGACTTGGGGTCGAAGTATAACGATTTGCTTTCTTTGGATAAAATATATCAAGCATAATCAAATGTTTCCATATATGATGTTATTCTATAATTAGGTAGATCAAACCAAAATCGTTATGGAAGACAACATTAAAAACATGATTAACAATGGACAGTAGTTAGATGTGCTTTAAATAAAGAGTGAAGATCTGAACAAGAACGCAAAATAATTTGCTAAGAATTCTGCTGAATTAGTAAGATTCGCAATTTAAACTTAGGCTTCCATTATGTATTGGAGAAACATGAAGTTAAAGATCATCATTGGATTGATCATATTGGCTGGACTTTTA